CGCTTTTCGTTATCAAATCATCAATTTTTGACATATATCGATGTGAAATTTTTTTAGGGTGTTTGGTGTCCGGGGTCGTTTTCCACAATTTTTTATTTAACGGAATATTGAAAAAAATAAAAATATTGACGTTGACAGCTGTCAAAAAATTTTGGAAGCTCAGGATCAAGGATCCTAAAGTTAATAGGTAATGAGTAACTTGATGACGCATCTGGGGTGTCTTATGGAGATTTGCATTATGTTGAGGCACCCCAGATGACGTCACAAAGTTATCAGGCAACCTACCGCTCTCAAAGAACTATGGCTCACGATATATTATATCCGTCATGTACACTTCGCATCAAAATTAACGCACCACTAAAATTTGGCACAATTTCAAATTTAATTTTCTCGGAAACTGCTGAATCGATTTGGACATATTTTTTTTTTAATTGTAGCTTAAATCTTCAGGAATGACTCTGTAAAACAACTTTTCATTTGAATCGAAGTTTTAGGCATATACAGGGTGTTTTAAAAGAAACCAGTTTGATGCCTAATTTTTGTCACATCCTGTGGGACTTTCCATCTGCACCAATAGATGTCTATCTAAGTCAAAACATAGCCCCATCTTTTCTGAGCATTTTGTTTTTTTATTCACGTTTCTAGCTCTGTTATTTAATGAAATATGGCGTTTGAAGTTAAAAGCGTTTATTTGAGATTATTCAAGAAAAAGTTTCGGAAGTTAACAAAACAAAAACAAAATTATTGAAAAAATAATGTGGAAAAAAGAAGAAAGAAGAAGAAGAAGAGTTATAACCGTCAGCTAAAGAAAATCTAAGTAGGCCATGGAAAACAAAGGCGCGATATTGTCATGGAAACAGAGACTACTGTCTTTATCTGTCAGTGATTTTTGAATTTATTCTGTAATTTCTCTGCATTTGGTGTTATCATTGCAAAATATGGAGCGTCAAACAAGAAATTTAACTCGAGATGAATGTGTGATGGCGACTACATTGATCCAGGAAGGAATGGGCTACCGAGCTGTAGGTAGAAGATTGGGTGTTTCTCATTCGACAATATTGCGCATATTTCGCCGTTTTGAAGAAACCAATGACCACAACAGGCGCCGTGGACAAGGAAGAACTCGGGGAACAGCGGCTATCCATGACCGATTTTTGCAACTGAATGCGTTGAGGCAACGTTTTGTGACCTCAAGACAACTAAGGGTACAATTAAATACTGCTCACAATATCAACGTTAGTGTATCAACTGTAAGGAGACGTCTGGCAGAAAGAAATTTAAGGTTCAGAATTCCAGCAAGAGGACCAAGGTTAAATGCAGACCATATACGAGCAAGACTTCAATTTGCCAGGGAACATGTAAACTGGAATGCTGAAGATTGGGAGCGAGTTCTGTTTACAGATGAGACAAGGTTTTGTCTTTACAGCAACGACCGACGAGTAAGGGTTATTCGACGACCAAATGAACGTTACTCGCAGTGTAATATTCGCCAAACCGAGTTATTCAATGGAGGGTCTGTGATGTTTTGGGGCGGAATCTCTTTAACTGCTCGTACTGACATCGTGTCTTTGCGTGGAGGACCTTTAAATAGTGCAAGGTACATCACGGAAATTTTGTCAGAGCATGTGGGCCCTTTCGCTGGGTATATTGGGGATAACTTTTTACTAATGGAAGATAACGCCAGACCACACACTGCGAGAATAGTGCGAGATTATTTGAATGAGGTGGATATTGAGACTCTGGACTGGCCTTCACGCAGTCCAGATCTCAATCCTATAGAACATTTATGGGATCAAATTGGTAGGCAGCTTAGAGATCATCAACCCCTACCTGTGTCTTTGAATGATGTAGAAAACTTTGTTCGAGAAATTTGGATTAATATCGATCAAGAACAAATAAGACGCCTGGTTCAAAGTATGGGTCGGTCGATGTCAAGCGGTAATAGAGAGTAGGGGAAGAAACACCCGATATTGAATGTTTTTTTTTTCCACATTATTTTTTCAATAATTTTATTTTTGTTTTGTTAACTTCCGAAACTTTTTCTTGAATAATCTCAAATAAACGCTTTTAACTTCAAACTCCATATTTCATTAAATAACAGAGCTAGAAACGTGAATAAAAAAACAAAATGCTCAGAAAAGATGGGGCTATGTTTTGATTTAGATAGACATCTATTGGTGCAGATGGAAAGTCCCACAGGATGTGACAAAAATTAGGCATCAAACTGGTTTCTTTTAAAACACCCTGTATATGCCTAAAACTTCGATTCAAATGAAAAGTTGTTTTACAGAGTCATTCCTGAAGATTTAAGCTACAATTAAAAAAAAAATATGTCCAAATCGATTCAGCAGTTTCCGAGAAAATTAAATTTGAAATTGTGCCAAATTTTAGTGGTGCGTTTGTATATAGAGTTTGGTGGTCGTAGCTTGTATGGTAAATAGGGGAGAGAGGCAAAAATTTGTCAGTTTTCACAGGTGACATCTATCAATATCACCAAAGTTTCGGGAGACAAAAATTCTATCCGAATGCGTCCTCGAAATTTGTGATATGTCAAAAAAGACGTTTGACCTTGTCAGGCTGTCATTTTTTGACATATATGTCAATGCTAATTTTTTTTAAAACGTTTTTAGGGTCGACGGGAAACGTTTCCCGACCATCGCTATTTTCTTTTTTTCAAAAATTGGAAAAAAGCTTTTTTGACGTTGACAGCTGTTAAATTTTTTTGATACTGACATGTAGCCCACGTCAAATAATCGGTATGCACCGAGTTTGGTGGTTGTAGCTCGTATAGTAAACCGTGGGGGGGGGGGGGGGGGGGAAGGCAAACAACCCTATTGACACAATCTCTGTTCCAACCGACATTAGAACCGTTCTAGAACGAGAATTTCCAGTCGATCAATTCATTTGTCAAGTAGGATGAACGTTGAACTTATTGAAAAACAGGTGGGCAACTGGAAATGACTGGTTCTGGAACAGAGCTAAAAATTCCGGTCGCATGACAGCAGTCAACATTTTTCTGACAGATTTGGTAGAAATGTTTCTAAAAAATCTGGTGCAAGATGTGGGAAAATTCTGGAATTTGTTTCTGCTTGTCATATTTTTGACATTGACAGCTGTCAAATTTGACGTTAGAACTTTTTAAGTATTTTTTTCGTATTCCTCGGGGTCGAATCTACACGCCCATTTAGATTTTTTACCGCTGATTCGGAGAAATTTTATTAGTCGATGCCACCGTTTATAATGGCTGGGTTTCGTAATTAATCTGCGAGCAAAATGAGCAAAATTTGACATGTCTCGTGATTTGACACGTAGAAAAAAGAAAGTGATCACGTGACGTTTGTTAAAATTTGCTTGTTTTGCTCGCAGATGCAATTACCGAACCCAGTCAATAATAAAGAACTGCAAGTAATATATTCCATCTGTTAAGTACGGACCTGAATCTGCAGCGCCAGATCATTTCTCTCTTTAAAGGAAAGAACCAGATATACCAAGTGGTCCGCCTTTCTCGTACCTAGGACCTTTCCCCCCTGACCATGCGAATGTTTAGGGCGAGCGTTAGATCCGTGTTAAGTTAGATAGGATGTAGGTACCTGGAATATTAACGGTACGCCTCTGGTTGTCAGGCTCCACCCACTGTTGGTGCGATACTCCAAGCTCCGCTTACGTAGCGGCTTTTTTTTAAATTGAAAACTAAGTGGGCGGAGCTTTAATGTCATGAGCGTAGCTATTGGAGTCCAATTATTTCGTATACAGGGTGTACATTTCAAGTGATACACCACTATTGCTATATCCAAGACAGTAAGAGCTACAAGGTCGGTGGAATTAGAAAAAAGTTGCCTTTTTTGATGCCCATTTGAGAGTGTTGCCAAATTCCTTGTAGTTTATGAAATACAGGGTGATTTCTAAGAAACGTCTAAAAATATTTCATCAATTATTTTGAAAACTATTGATATTCGAGACAAAACGCGCCCTTCATTTCCTTTCTAAAAATGACACAAAAAATTCAGTCATCAATCCAGTTCCGTCAAAAACGAGTTCAATAATAATATTTTCTGGTGAAGAGTCTTCTTCGCCCAATATAGGTATCTCAAATATTAACGGTACGTCGATGGTTTTCAGGCTCCGCCCCCGTAGTAGGCTTTCATTGATTATACAACTCACTGTATATTATTCCCATATGACACGAGAGGATCAAGAAGTGATAATCCTTCCCATATGACACGAGAGGCTTAAAAAGTGATAATCCTTTTGCAGTAACTGGTGTTTTGACATTTTTTGACAAAAATTCAAATTTTTGATTCATGAAATTATTAATTATTAAAGAATTACAGCTGTATGCAACATCCTCTTTTAACGTAAAAGCGCTTTTTAAAACTGATCACTTTTAAAATTGTGTATTCTAAGTCATACAAATTTTTAAAGGTACCAGTTTTAAAAAGCGCTTTCAAGTTAAAAGAGGATGTTGCATACAGCTGTTAAAGTTTAGTTCGTTGTATAACCTTTTGAATACCACTCGATTTTTCAGGATTACCTAATACTTTTACCTGACACTCAACGCGTTACCGTTTCGTGACAGGTAAAAGTATCAACTGGTAATCCTGAAACCTCTTGTGGTAATACATTCGAAAGCTCCCAAAGAGGGCGGACCCTTATTGTCATAGGCGTACATTTTGTTTTTTAATACAATTTTCTAGCAATATAATTGTGTGTTTAGAATTTGAAGACGAGCGAATTTAGACGATTTGATTGGGTTTTCATATTGAAGCTGGAAAGAAGCGGGAAAAATGTTGAACAAAACAAGAGGAACCTAAAAGTGTTTGTCTAATCAAATTTTGTATTTTTGATATTTTGCATTCAATATAGATACTTGTTAATTTCATTATTTAAATCTATTGTTTGAATTTCGATCTTGTCGTTACTCCTCTCTGAAAAATTGGATCGTATTGATGTTATACATTATACACTCCATCATGCCATTACTTAATTTTCTTTATTTTTAGCACCCGCAGTCACAGTAATCGTGGTCGACCGCCGAAAACACAAAAATACGAACCCTGTTCAAGTTCAGTGTCCAACAATCACTTGACTGACGTCCTGGGGTCAAAAACCAAATATTTAGTCCCAACCTCTACATTTAAAAACCAAAAACTTTCTATCAACAGTAACGACAATCCAAATCAAAAACGGCCCTGTGTACAAATAGAAGACAATGACATTTTGGAAATGTATTACGATCCATCGCTCGACGAGGAAACTTTCGAAGATTTAATCGAAAATGAAGATCCATCGCTCAATGACGAATCTTTTAAGGGTTTTATTGAAAATGAAGATGTCTTGATGAATGACAATGAGGAACCTGAACCTAACGTTATCGTCGTTGAAAATTCTGAAGGTAAGCGACTTACTCTGCGTGATTTGCACCTGCCAACGTAAACAACCACATTTTAATTGACGCGTAAAAAAACGTTTCATGATAAAAGTAACGAAACAATTGACTAGTTTGAATACGCGTTCGCGCTCTGTCTAGAAATATCCATCAACTTTGATCTATTCGAATGCAAGCTGCATTTAAAATAGACATTGTCCAATTTGAACTGACTTGTATATATTTTATATGACGCAAAATAATGAGTTTTTTTTTTTGAAATTTCAGATGAATGTAAATGACCGTCCAGCAGCAGAGGAATTATTGGTCTTAAGACATTTTTCACATTATAGTTAGTTTGTTAATGGTTATTAATTTATGAGTTAGTAAAATTAATAAATTTTAATTTGTTGCGTCTTCACAGTTGACCAATTTTTTCCTTTACAATACCTAGCTTAATGGAACAATTAAATAGGGCAACAAAACATACAAATAGTATTTTATTCAAGCTTTAGATATTACAAATTACAGATTCAAAATTCCTCTAGCATCATAATTTGGTATTTGAGGAATCACCTTTCTAATGTCAGCAATAGTGCAAGCGTAAATGTACCCTCTAACCGTGTTAAATCTATCAAAACTTAACCAATTCAGCTGATCAGCGACATCAGGACAAATAATTTCATTTTCTAAATCCTTCAAAAACGGATTATTCACTCCCAATACTGCTACGCCACGTCGAGTCGATGGACTGTAGACAACTTTCCAGAACAATTTTGGAACTGGCATGGCTTTTTGGCCATCTGCAAATAAATAAAGCTCCACTGGATGATTGGTTTTTTCGTGGGGTAAAGTAGAAATCCCATAGGAGCCTGTTTGGACAATCAAGTCCGAACCAGTTCTAGCTGACAATTGTCGTACGTTAGCTTCAAAATAAGCCCAATTGAACCCATTGAAGGTTTGCCATTGTGGTACTGAATTTACATAGTGAAACGTGGCTTCTTGTTGGGCATAGTACATAAAGTCAGCTCTAGCTGTTAAATGGCCTCTAGCTAAATAGTAAGAGCCGGTTGGTCTTACATATTTTGTACTGTCATTTGGTAATCCTACCAGACTGTTGATAGTTGATCTCTGAGCTGCGTTTGGGTATAAGTTGTCCAAACGGGTGCCTAAGTTGTAAAAAGCGCCTTCCGTCCATCCTGGTCTTGTACCGCCAGTGTTTTGGTCTCCAATTTGATGAGACATTTCGAATAGGGAGTAATAAACGTTTCTGGTCATAGGATCGAAACAGGTGTTCATTTCTCTGATAAAGTGACCATCGGTGAACTAAAACAATTTTTTCAATAATAGTAGAGTTTTTTTGCTAAGTATTGTAATTACAGAGCTCTGATGATGTTTTTTTTTTCTATCTGATGTTGAAACTTGGACTACAAGTTCGATATAATGTAGACAAAAAATCATTATTCAAGTTTCATTTTCTGGTATCAACTTCTAATTTGTTTTAATAACTGATGAAAGACACTATGGACAAAATTTCTGGTGAAAGTTTGGAGCAATGATTGCCTGGCATAGCTATACATTTCTTAATAAACACATACTTTGAAAACCAATAGTTATTTACATTACAAGTGCGTTTATGAACTGCATGATTACAATAACCAGTGTGAAAGATTAGAACGACGAGGTCGTAGACCGAGTCGTTCTAATGGAGTCGTTCTAATGATACGAGTTTTGTAGTCATGTTTAAACGTAAGTGTGATGTATTAGTAGTTGTCTACCTTCATTTTACCTTTACAGCTTTAACTTTGACATTTATCAAATAACCAAAAAATGTTGTGTTATAGATTCATAACCTAGTCCATAACACCACTAGTTCATAACCTAACCCATAACATGAGTTATGAGTCTCATGACATAACTCAAATACTAGAAAAATGGTTATGTAAAAACGTCATAACCAAACGCTTCTAGATAATAGTTATTTATCTACAAGCGTTTGGTTATGACGTTTTTACATAACTATTTTTCCAATATTTGAGTTATGTCATGAGGCTCATAACACAACTAGTTGTGTTATGGAATAGGTTATGAATTCATAACACAACTAGTGGTGTTATGGACAAGGTTATGAATTCATAACACAACTATTATTTGACAAATGTCAAAGGTAAACCTGTAAAGGTAAAATGAAGGTATAACGACTAATAAACGAAAATGATTGAAAAAAAAATCTTATTTTTCTCTTTGTAGATAAAAAGTTGTATATCACACGTGCGTTTAAACATGACTACAAAACTCGTGTGATTAGAACGACTAATCTTTCACACTCGTTATTGTAATCATGTTCATAAACGCACTTGTAATGTAATAGTATTTTACATTATTAGCCAGGTAAAACAGTTTTTACTGGTGATTGAAGGAAATGACTAGCGAGCCGTCAGGCGAGCTTGTCACCTTCAAGAGCCAGTAAAAACTGATACCTGGCGTATGATGTACAATAATTTATTTGTTACTCATTTGTAAACAATAAATAAAAAATTAATACATGAGTAATATAATAAATAAATAAAATAAATAAAAGTAAATAATTCTACTGACTCGTCAAAAGTTTTTACAGTTTAGCTGTCAATTTTACAAGTCAGTAGAGCCAGTAACTAGTAAAAATCAATTTTCGTTGTTTATGTTTTGACTTGATAAATGACGTTTTACAAATGAGTGACAAATAAAAGAATTAATAAAATTGGATCTTTTTTTTTGGATTTTCTGCTATGATGACTATAGTCTGTTTCCTTTTCGTTAGGATCAGAGGAAAAGGCAAAAAGGGTTGAAGACCGTTAAACGCTCCTAAACCATAAGCAGCCATAAAGACCCTATAGGTTGGGTTAATCCGAGCAATTCAGTATAAATTTGGCACTGGTATGCATATTATACAGGGTGTCCCACGACGTTTTACCCAGGTGATAACTTCGGAACGCGTCATCCAATGTAATTGAAATTTTGAGGATCTGGGTAATTTTTTGTGCCGCTTCTATGTGTCATCCAATTCCACCACAATTCAATTACAAAATCGGCAATTCCATATTTGTAAAGGCTTTGTTAAAGTAAATGATAAAAAATTACACAGAGGAACATACGATGACAATTTCCGAAATTATTACCTGGGTAAAATCTCGTGGGACACCCTGCATAGTGTGTGTTTTCATTGTAAATTTATTGCAGAAATGTCTTCAGGCTTTAATCCGGTAAAATGTAAGGGCGTTGTTGATTCCAAAGCCAAGATTAGTATTGAATGTACAGGGTGTTCCAACGAGGACTGAACACAAGCCTATTTTTGATCTTCTTTGTATTTTTGAAAAAAAAAAGTATATTCAAATTTATACTGATGCTCCTATAGAGTCGAGTTCGAAGCGTCAGCCAAGATCGTCGTAATACCCAAGCAAGCAGAGAGAAGCCAAACTATCCGGAAGTGAGAAGATTTTCAAAAATGCTCTAAGACTCTAGGGAGCTTTAAGAAATCGGACCTAAGACTCTGAAAGCAAGAAGCCAACATCCAGTCAAGCTGGATCCCAGAAGAGAAAATTCAGAAGCTCCAACCAACAAACACCAAGTCGAAGAAAAACTTCCACCATCAATAATACCTATCAAAAAAAGTGCAGTGAAAAGTAAAAGTTTAGTGAAAGTAGTGAAAAAAGCCAAAACCAAAATGGCAAATACTGGGGGTAAGTCAGACACAATTTCTGATAAACATCTTCGTGCCCATGATGAAGCAAAATCCCTTATCGCTCTAAACCGATCCCTGAATTCCACTAACCAAACCCTTACACAAGAAATTGAACACCTGAAAATCCAAGCCACTGAAAACGATAAAACCATAGCACAATTCATTGACAAGGAACAACGCTTAACTGACGAAGCAGCGAACCTAAGAACAGAATTGGATACATTATCCAATCAACACAAAAACCTGGAAGTTAACTACCACAATTTAGTAGAACTAGTTAAAAACATGGAAAAAAAAACTAGAGTTTGCATTGTCCGTAAACGATAAACAAACCAAGGAGTTTGAAGCACTTAGAAACAGAGCTGAGTCTCCCATACCCGGCCCCTCAACTTCACAAACTTCCTCAAGAAAAAGAAGGAACCAAAAAACCCCTTCAAACACTTCCTCAGAAGTAAATTCAAATCAACATCCAAACCTCTCAACATTAAACAATCCAATTACACAAAAATCTCCTAAATAAAACAAATCTCCAGAAAAACCCAGAATTCCCCCAATCATTATAAGGGATCCAAAATACTGGCTAAAAATCCACCAATTACTAGCCGAAAACAACGTTAACATAGAGGACCCAAAAAAACATCCTCTCGGTATTCAGATATTGCCAAAATCCTCAGACGACCACAGATCCGCCACCAAAGTATTGAAAGAAAAAAAATGTGGAGTACCACACGTACTTCCTTAAAGAGGAAAAAAACTAAACATTATAATAAAAGGTCTTGGCAAAAAGTTCTCCCTAGAAGATGTAGAAAAAGAACTCATAGAACTAGGAATCAGCCCATCATAAATCTAATGGTATAAATCCGGACCAAACAGGACCAACGAGACTAAACTAATTAAACTCCTAATATCGCAAGACCAAACAAAAATTTTCAAGATTACACACATTTGCTACATGAGAGTTTACATTTCCCACCAAAGAGCTCCAACCTCAAAACACATTCTGCAATGCCATAACTGCCAGCAATTCGGCCATTGCTCCAGTAACTGTTTTGCAGAGCCAAAATGCCACAGATGTGCAGGAAACCACCACTTCAAAGAGTGCAAGAAACCTAGGGACACCCCAGCCAAGTGCTTAAACTGTGAAGGTGATCACCCAGCAAGCTACAGAAACTGCCAAAAAAAAAACGAATTACTCCAGAAACCAATCAAACCAAGCATCCCAAATCTCAAATACACCAAAACCACCTCCAAAACCAGTAAACTCCCAAATTTCATACGCTAAAATTACCCAATCCCCCTCCACACCCTCACAAAACCCCCAAAGCTCAATTTCCTCTCACAAAATAAAATTAGGACCTAGAACACAAGATCGACAACATATCAACATATCAGAAATAACACGTTCTGATTGGCTGCGCGGTGTTCTTCGACGCGGTGCCGAGATGGGGGTCGGAAATAACTGCAGAGTGCCGAAACAGCGGACAGAATTAAAACAAAGGCAAAGGCAAATTTTATTGAAACAGGGAATCAAAATATTCTTAGATTTTTATCAGAACGTGTTATTTCTGATATGGTGCCGAAATAGATGACGGAATTAAACCATGCAAACGGAAGAGTCATAGCACTTATCCAGGAACATGTCTAAAACCCCAAACCATATACAAAGTGCCAAACTACAAAATATATAGACAAGACAGGAACAACAGAATAGGGGGAGGAACAGCCATCCTCATAAAAAAAAACATACCCCATGAAGTAATCACACCTCCAAATACAGACCTCAGGATTGAAGTTACGGCAATAAGAGTCATCCACCAAGAAGGAGACATAGAAATTGTATCAGCATACAAACCTCCAGGAACAACCTTAAAAAGAACGGACCTCGACACTCTATTCAACTCTCCCTACCCAGCAATAATAGCAGGAGATTTAAATGCAAAGAGCGTCAAATGGGGATGCAAATCAACCAACTCAGCAGGAAAAACTCTAAATGACTACTCCATAGAAAAAGGATTGGAAATCTCTCAAACATCCAATCAAACACTAAAAAACACGTTTCACATCAAACGAAGAAGAAACGAAAAATTCATAAATCTATTCGAAGACATTCCTTCAATAAAAACAATTCAATAAAAATAAAAAAAAACAAAAAAAAAAAAAATATTTACACATAAAACTGCAAACATAATCTAACAAAATCTTAACTCAACAGGAAACAGCGAAAATTCAAATTTTTCCCATGGAATGAGCAAGCTCCCCAAAAAGGAGAACTCGATAATAAAAACTCATTACACACAGATGCTCCTATAACGAAAAGGAAACAGAGTATAGCCAACTCCGTATCTCCTTCATACGAGAAATATAAAACCTGGAATAAAATATAGTTATCACTTATTTACCACAAATCCAACTTCAGTTTCCTTCCCTTTATTATTCCAACACCTCTTTCCAGTATATCTAGCTACACTAGCTATTCGTCTAGAACATACTACAGTGCTGAAATCAACCCTTCTGTTGCTAATAAGTACTTGGCTTCCACCAACACATTCAGCTATAGCAACTTCTCCTAAAGCCAAATTGTCGTCTACTAAAATGTTGCTACCAGGACAATCGATTTCGAATTCCTTCCCAGGGCTCAGTGTAATGATGCTGCTGCCAGCATTGTCGGGCAAAAGTAAATTTAGGGTTGAAGGGTCTCTAAGTAAGGGTTTTCTTTGAGGCAAATCACGTATGTTAATATGACAACCTATAAAGTGGTAGATTTATGTATGAAGTCAATCGGGTAGGTACTCACCTGGGTCGTTAATGATTAAGTTTTGAAAATCCTCAAACGTTAAGCTAAAAATTGGTAAAATATTTATTACAAAAATAATAACTAGTTTTTGTGCCATTGTCTTTAGAATGATAAACTATAAATGATCGAATAATTGTACCTAAGCTTAAGCCAAACATGGTTATAAGTCGATTATTTAAGTTTTAATCGCAAGATTATCGATTATCTCACTGGAATGTTTGTTTGAGTTTTTCAACCCCCAGGTGTTCGAACATATAAGTAACAATAAACAATTATTTTCATTGTACTAAGTATGGGTTTATTAACGAATTATTCATCACAAATCTTTACAGCTGCAAAGATAAATTACTATTGTAGGTATTCCTTTTTTAGAAGCTTGTTTGTAAGAAAACGACTTAATTTAATTTAAAAAAAGCCTAATTTATTTAAAGGGTTTGATTTTCACTTTTTCACTGTCTCGTCTCGATGAGAGGCACTCGAGACGAGAAAGTTTTTCTCTCGTCTCTGCTCAGTTTTGACTCATAATTAGGTACTGGGATCAAAAATATTCAGATCATTATTATTTTCGCCCGTTTGCACAAAAATGAAGATTGTCAAAAATATTGAAATTCTCCATTGTCCAGTGGTGTCATTTACGTACTTTTTAATATAAACCAGTTTCCATAGATATACATAAACCATACCCACCCTCAATGGTACCAGAACTTGATAATTCCAAAAGATTTTGTGAGATGAAAACCAATATTATTGCACGAGAAATCAAGAGACTAGCAGTCCTTTTTCCAGAGAAAATCATCACTCTTAGGCACAACTTTCCTGACAAATTTCTGAAATCTTCAGCAATTGAAAAATAAACTCCAAAAAATATATTTCTCACAATAATAAATTTGCAGCATTCAAATTAGGTGATCTCCCTACCGCCCTACGAAAATCCTCAATGGAACAAGCATAAATATGCCCTAAATCCACCCTGTTCTTTTGTCCTTTAAGTTTATAACTGAACCACGAGACCCTATCCGAAATATCCTCGCAAATAAAATCCTCCCTCTGAACCTCATAGGCGTTATTCACTCCTAAAATCACTATCCCAGAATTTTTATGTTTGTCATAAATTAATTTCCAAAATAACTGCGGTACTGGCAATAAATGTCTTCCATTATTCGTATGTAAAAATAATTCAGTTTTTATTTTATTGGCATTATTCGTTAAAGTACTGACTCCATGAACTCCTGTATAAACCTCCAAATCACTATTAGTAGAACTTGCATAATCTCTAAGGCTCATTTCCAACTCGTTCCAATTGCCTCCGTTAAACGAGGCCCATTGAGGGGCCGAATTGGCATAATGAAAAGTTGCTAATTGCTGATAGGCATAAACGAAATCACCTTTTGGTGTCAAATGGCCTCTATTAATAAATAATTCACCATTTTGCTTGATGTATGTTGTAGATTGACTCTCCAAGCCCAAAAGTTCATTTATGGTGCGCCGTTCTCTGTTTCTATTATATAAATTATCCAGAGATTCTGATGTTGAGTAAAAACCATCCTCCTCGAAAAATTTCCTCGGAACTTTACTGTCTCTATATCCAATAGTTTTTGTCAATGTGTAATGCGAGAATATGGGGCTAAAATTGACATTATCAAAGCAAATTCGCATTTGCCTCAAAAATCCATAACCTGGCACATTGTAACCCACCTCAATTTCTTCGCCACCCTCCTTGCAACTTCTTCCAGTGTACCTTATAGTATTTTGAGGTATGTCGCGGCATCTTAACGAATACAAATTTAAGGGTTTTTCTTGAAATAATAATGAGTCCTCTATACAAGAGGCTGTAATAATTGGTCCTAAATTTTCATTAAGGTACAACAGCTGGTTTCCAGGACAAGCGATATTAACTTGCTGGCCTGTTTGTATCGGGGGCGAATTTCGGTAAATTATTTCGGCGTTTCGATTGAAAATTAATGGGGTGGGTTTCAAGTTGAGAGTGTCGAACTGACAGTCTAGAAAATTCGGATTACGTATTGGAATTTCGTGCGGAATAATTCGTATACTGACCTGATGAAACTGCATTGAATAGGGTGATGAAAATGAATAATGGAATCATTAACAGGAATTTTGTATGAAAATGATGAGTTTTTTTGAAATGATGTGACAATGACACTTTGGTTTTTTGAAAAAATGGGGAGGTACCTATTTAAAAACTTTGTACAGGTAGGTAGCATCCTCTCATTCCGAGCTTGACTGATCATTGCAACTTTCGGGGAGTTTCCTATTGGACATCTCTAGTCGCGTATCTGTCCCTTGTTCTAGTTTTATCATCGCTTCTGAGGTTACTTCTACTTATCTACTACGCTATTTTCTGCAGCGATAATGTATGTTCTCGGCTCAGGTCCAACATCCATTACTTTCCTAAACATTTTTATATCGGGTATCCAAACTTTATCGTTATTTTTCAAGGTAGAATTTGATCTTCCTCTATGTCGCTTATAAATATTCGATGTTTGAATTTCTTTTTCGTTGCTTCTGACTTCCTTGAAGTCGTTTATGTGGTTTCATTAAGGGATAAATTTGTCTTTATTAGCTGGAATTGAATTCCTAGGTTTTCTTCCCATGTTCAGTTCTGCTGTTGAAAATCCAAGCTTTAGTTTTGCTGTTCTATAACTTAACAGTCCTTAGTTTGGGTCTTTACATTTTAGAATTATATTCTTGGCTCTCTTAACAGCGGATTCCGGCTTCCCATTTAATTGAGGATACCTAGGACTACTTATGATGTGACTGAATCCGTATGTCTGAGAAAATTGTTTGAATATGTGGCTAGAAAAACAAGGCCCATTATCTGATCTAATGGTCTCTAGTATTCCCCATCTTGACAACATGGGTTTCAGTTTCGTTATGACATCTACAGCAGTCTCTGAATTTCAGTTGGAAACCTCTATAAATCTTGAGTAATAATCGACTGCCACCAGATAATGTTTGTTGTCGGCCACGAATAAATCAATTCCGACGATCTGCCTGGTGTAATCTGGCACAGGGGAAGAAATCATTGGTTTCATTGGCTAGGCTTAAACATTTCGTCATGCCCAAATGACCCTCGTGTATTTTATCCAATATTTCCTTGCGTAATGTCGTCGGTATGGATATTCTGTAACGTGTGTGCGGGTAACTAAGCTATCCAATATAACCATCTCTCCTTGATACTGGTACAAAATTTTATCTTCGGTTGGTAAATCCTTAATGAGTGCACTGCAAACCATTTTGTATATAAGTTATTATTCTTTTGGTTTGGACATCATTCTTATGACATTCCAAGATACTTTTTATACGCATGTCCTTGATAAGGCATTGATTCACGAATATATGATTTGCAAAGTCTTCCACTTTTTCTATTGACAAATAAAATATCTGCTCCATGATTACTGGATTTTGGTAAAGCTCTGGATAATACGTCAGACATTATCATGTTTCTGCCAGGAAAATACTGTACAGGGTGGTCCATTTTCGATGTTTTAATGGGCTATATCAAAAACCAGCAGAGATATCAAAAATTTGGGAGCACATTCTCGAGCTCTTTTTTTGGGAAAATAACAATGGCGAAGACAAATCACGGCAAACTTGATGCGTTTAGGAAATACAGGGCACTTTTCAAATTTTGTCCAATTTTAAAAGACTCTCTAATTTCCTTATTATTCAAGATATCCAAAAACGAAAAATATTTTCTATAGGCAGTTTTTCAAGTAGAATCCAGTGGCATGACCATTTTTTTCCAGATGCCACCGATTTTGGAATATTGGCCAAAGTTGTGTTTTTTAAGTAAGGATACCCCGTATATTATTTTTTCATTGAATAGGTCTTTTTGAGCTGATTTCAATGATATAACGTTTTTTACCTTTACTTTCAATGGTTTTGGAGAGAAAAATAAATTCCGCTTTTTCCATAAGAAACAATGAGTTAAAAAGAGATAGTTGAACTATGAATCGGCTACAAATTTCTTAATTCTTAATTTAGTTTTTCAGTTCAGCTAATTTTTTTTTAATTTGAACTATGAATCGGGGGTGATAAATAGGCAACACATAATTTATTTAATGACGTATCTCTCTCTAGCTCATTGTTTCTTATGAAAAAACGGGATTAATTTTTTTTTTCTCCAAAAGTATGGGAGGTAAAAGTATAAAACCTTATATCATTGAAATCAGCTCACAAAGAGTTATTCAATAAAAAAATAATATACGAGGTGTCCCATTTAAAAAAAACACAACATTGGTCAATATTCCAAAATCGGAGGCATCTGGAGAAAAATTGGTCATGCCACTGCACTGGATTCTCATTGAAAAACTGCCAAGTATTTTTCGTTTTTGGATATCTTGATTAATAAAGAAATTAGAAGGTCTTCTAAAATTGTGCAAAATTTGAAAAGTGCCTTGTATTTCCTAAACGCATCAAGGTAGCCGTGATTTGTCTTCGCCATTGTTATTTTCTCAAAAAAAGAGCTCGAGAATGTGCTCCCAGATTTTTGATATCTCTGCTGGTGTTCGATATAGCCTATTAAAGCATCGAAAATGGGCTACCCTGTACATCATACGAAAATCGCATCAATCTCGTTCGAAATCTTTGGATTCTAGCTGATAAATCAGCTAATTGTTTGCTTCCTAGAAGTTCCACTAGGGGTTTGTGGTCAGTCAAGAGTAGGTATCGTTTTTGCCTCTTACTCAACCCATTCACTTGCTTCACTTATCCTATGAATTATTTTACATTTTTTTTTGGAAGAAAATTTAACTAGGAGAAAATTCCCCACTTCAATCTCTCCGGCTAGGAGATCGATCCTCTCCATTTCCTCTTCTTCTTTTTCTGCTTCCAATTTTTTTAAATAGGCCTCTAAGTCTTCGACTGATTCATCATGGTAGCTGATGTCGGATTCGCTTTCTTGGCTGTTTTTCTTCTGTTTTTTATTTTCTTGTACATTTTCTTTCATCTTATGCACGTTCTCTTTTTTTTTGTAATTTGACATTTTTGTTCTTCTTTTTTTCTTGAAGGGATTGTACAACATCTGGTGATGTTATCACAGCTCCACTCGATGTGTCTCTTCTAGCCGACACTGACTTAAGTCGCGAAATTTTCTGAAGTAAAAGCTCTTCAAAATTTATGGGAGAGGGAGTCGGTTCAGGCTCGACATTAAAATGATCAGGAAGGACATGCACACTATTGGTGTTTGGTAGAGATGTAAGGGGGCGCGTACAGCTTGGCCCAGGCACAGAATCATTATCATGGTCGTTTCTTGGACGTATATGGGTATTAGGTGGAGGTACATTATTCTCACCTTCACCATCTTCTGCAACATATATATTAGTTTTGACTTCGGTGTAATCCCTTAGTCTTTCTTTGTATTTAACAAGATCATGCGGTTCAAACATTTTTTCAATCCTCTGAGGGTTTACTGGAAACTCGCTTTCTGGGTCGAAAATCCCAGTAAATTGAAACCCTTTTTTGATATTTTCGACGGTTATGGCATTCCATGCCTTTCCAACGATTTCAACTAAATCAGATTTCTGTAAAACTTCTCCATAATTTTCTCTCTGTCATTCTATCAAATATCGGTTGTGACTGTTCTTTAGGGGTCGGAAAGCCACTTTGTCAAAGGGTTGCAAGTTGTCAGTAGTGTGCGCTGGCAATCGAAGTATGCAAATTTTATTTTCGATAACCAACCTCAATAAAAATATGTGATAGATGGCCATCAAATATCACCAAAAGAGGTCGTTCTTTTGGAGCCCATTTTACAAAGTAATTAGTCATGTAGTGGAAAAATACTTGCGATGTCATCCACCCTCCAATGCTCGCGCTCGCATCGTAAGAGGTCCCAGGAAATGCTTTTTCAATCACGTCGAACCCATGCAACTTGCAGATTTAAATAAAAAGTGTGGTGGAAAGACTTGCCCGGAAGCTGATACACATGCAAGAACCGTGGTTCTTCTCCGACTAGTTCCTTTGGTGTAGTATCCGGGTGGAAATAAAAGGCACTATTTCAATACAATTCTATTATGATTACATGGCTTTTTAAATTACGAGTTACATTAGAGAATGAGCATGAATGGTTAGGTGGATGACGTAACGACGTGACGTCGCGGACTGTTAATGGTGGTCGCGGTAGGTAGGTAGAAAAAAAATATGTAGCAGACTGTGCGTTATCGTCAGGTTCCGCTAAGGGTTGCAGTCAAGCTCGGCCAGACTTGTGCTGTGGCTGTGGCCTTAAGCATACCAACATAACATTTGGTTCTTCGATACAGGTTGGCTCCAGTTTCTCCGAGGACTTTTACCTTGGAAGGATCGTGTGGAAATCCTGTCTCATCCATACTGAATATCAAATGAGGTTTATCTGCCAAATTATTCGTACGGATTTCATTTAATAACATGTGGTAAAATGGCAATACAATATCTGAGATGAATTGCTCAAATCTGGCGCCCTGCTTATAGTTTCTGGCGTTTTTAGAGAAACTGAATAACGCTTTCGAAAAGATAGAAGCCAGTCAGTGCTTGGCCTGTTGCCCTTAAATGGCATTTTGATCTTATTAACATTTAAAAATGTTTGCATTGTATTCAAAAAATCAATTTTTGTGAAATCAAATCCCAATTTTCCCATAATTTTTATTCAATTGGCAATGGATTTCTGCATATCTCCATTTAATGCTGTATTTCTTCCAGCTTTGAAACTGACTTGCCAGGGACGTAGCAACAGGGTGTGCAAGTGGTGCCGCGCACAAGGGCCCTGGCCCCGAAGGGGCCCGGCTGGTTCTGCCGTTCTTGGAGACAATATACAAGAAAATAAAAAAAAATCATATCACGCCCGCCCAAGCAATTTTCTTCGATTTGCTTTGAGTCACAGTACTCGTGTCAACTGTCAATAATTGTCAATCTCAATCGTGAAAGTCCATGAGTCACATGAGTGAATCCCCTGTGGAGTTTTGTCGATGAAAACATGAAAACAGTAATCCTCCTCCATTTTCGGTTTAAGGGGGCAACATCGCTCCCATGCACACGATACAAAATACAGAAATCGGTTTTAGACTACAAAAAAAAAACGCACATCAGAATTTGCTGAAATTTGGCATAAACATTCCTTGATCGATTATCTATAGAATAGTACAGTTAGATTTTCCATATTTCGAATTTTTTTCTGGCCTATATTGTGAAAATGAACTATTTCCCAAAAATAGAAAAATCCAAGGTAAAAATTGAAAAAATAAGAGCACTATTCTCTAGATAATCGATCAAAGAATGTTTATGCCAAATTTCAGCAAATTCTGATGTGCCGTTTTTTTTTGTAGTCTAAAACCGATTTTGGAATAAAATTAGAGATATTTTGGCAAATATGGTTCAGGCTTTTTTTCGAAGATGGCGCCACCAGTCAATTCGTGATGTCATAATTAGGCGTTTTCGAAAACCCCGAACCATTGGAGCAGCAGCTGATGTAGGTTGTTCAGCGTTTCCAAAAAAGCCTATTGACAACAGAACCTCTTTCTCACCTTGTGTATTTGTTTTGTTTTTTATTATTGGTTTATAAAATAATAGGCACAAAGCATGCTGTGCCATTAGTTTCCATTGAAAATAAATAAAGTATCTATTTTACGTACCTAGGTATACATAAAAAAATTGGATCGTGTTTTGTAGGACAAAATGTCTGAAAAAATAAAAAGCTTCAATAATAATTATTATAATTTATTTACAAAAGGTGGAAAGTGCTAAAATTAGAGTTTTTCCTTTGTGTTCTTGCATATTAGTGCAATAATATTATCCACCAATGCAGTAGAGCATTCCATTTAGGTATCTGGCGATTTGCATTTCTTTTACTAGCTCTTGGATCTTCTACCAATATCTGAAATTGTGTTAGACTCCTGGTAAGACTATTTTTTTATTATTCCTCCGAGTATTCCTCTATTTGTAAACCCATTCATGTGCCAATTGCTTCCTGAAAATCTCATAGGTACCATCGTCACCAAAAGTATCTGGGACAAAAATAATTCATAATAATCTCCTGGACTAAGTCTACTGTCATTCATTTCAATGCATTTAATTCATAATTTGACAGATATTTGACACCTAAAATCATATAATAGTACAAGAGCTAACATGATGCTGTCCCAGTTACTTTTGGTGACGATGGTACCTAACACAACTAAACATACCTCAAAAACAAGCTCTACAACAAAACATCACTTTTACAGAGTAGAACAAAATTTGAAGTCATACCAGGCCAGGCATGGAAATACAAATCCCTCCATAATCCCATTAGCCAATCAGTGCGAACTGAGTGAAAAAAGTTGCACTGATTCTGCAAATTGAAATCGCTATAATATTTAAAATGCTCCACTGTAAAAATGCTTTCATCTTGGCGCCATCTATAATTTTTTTTTAGAACTAAAATATAATTTGAAGGGGGGGCCATTGAGGCCTTAATCCCTAAAAGTCGTCATAGCAATCAGAGGCAAATTATACCTGGCGCACCTACCACAACAATGCCAATACGTAATCAGTTCAAAATTTTCAATGTTTCATTTCACATGTTTGCCAACGGAATTCAATCAATTTTTGGAGAACTATTATTTCAGAAAAATATTGTTTGTATCACGAACCTAGCAGGTTTATAAGGACTCATTTGCTATAACAGCAAATATTCGTCCTAAAAATAGTATGTTACGTGAGGAAGCCGGAAAGTACAGTTTTTTGGACGAGTAAACAAGACTGCGGATCCGAAAAAACACTTTCCGGGTGTATTACGTAGACTATTTTTTCGGCCGGAAAATACATAATTCCCAGACTAGGTCGGAAAGTAATCATTTCCTGGCCTAACTAATCAATTCCCGGCGTAGGCTGAAAAAGACATATTTTCTTGATCTTGAGTAAAACGCGTCCGCAACCTTATTTTTGGTACTTGTACAAAAATAGCTATTTCTGTTAGCCCTTCAAAAATGTCTCGCCCCCGTACGCCATTTTGCATATAACCCCCTTCCCTGAATGAACCTTCCGATGTCCATATGGTGAAGGGGGCCCGCTTAAGTCTTGCACCAGGGCCCAATTTTGATTGCTACGTCACTGCTGCTTGTTTTTGATTTTTGAACGATTTTAAATGTATTTGAAGTGTACTTTTGGGAACATCAAATGTCTCTGCTGCATTTTTTTGGGATAAGCTGAATTCTTTTACAGCTCTTACAGCATTGTTCAGGTCTTCTTCTGTGTATGTTTTGGTACTTCGATAAACTCGAACCATGATTAAAGATCCTGCAAAGAATATTTACCTCTAATTTAATAAAGCTGGTTTTGTTACCTAACTTACGTATATAATTGGCTTAAACACACTAACAACACAAACACATATCACAAACTTTCCAAACACAACCTGCTGCGACTATTTTTCAACTTAACTGATGACAATATTGACAATTCTCTGATTTCTGACGTTGCCACGTTGACGTTAACCCCGAAAAATTGCCACAAGGGCCCCTATATAACCTTCTATGGGGGGGCAAATGTGGCAGACTGTCTAGTAATGCTGTGCTTCAAATTACAACCATTTTGGCATCAGAAATGGACTCAGGGCTCAAAATTATACAGGCAAAAGTGTTCGAAGTACTTGAAATACATCGTAGAGCTTCGATAAAAATTAAAGTATAACATTGTGTCCAAGTACGAGTTATACTTGAAAAAGGCAACGTGGCAAAACTTAGGAAATTTCGGTTCACACAAGTTCTAGCTTTTTTATTCAATAAACCTTATACAGTAGACATATTAAGAAGTAGGTTTGGCATGGCATGTTCCGACCCTGGAATGTAGTTTTTTTCTATTTTTTTTTACAAGTGCCACTTTTGCCCCAAACCGCAATTACCCCGCTTCACCCTATAAATGTTTGACCAAGAAGGTATTGGGCGAATTTTTCGCAGGCCCAAGTCAAAGATAATGTTTTTCGCTCTAGCTGCGCATATCGTTTTTCTGTGTCGGACATTCTCCTGGATGTATAGC